ATGGGTTGTGGAGAACTGAACGCAACAGCATTTTCTTCTTTAGTATTTGTTGCTTTTCCTGTTCCTTTTTTTGTGTGGTTGTTGTCTTGATCAAAAGGTGACCTGTATATAGGAGAAGAAAATCTGGGGTCTTGGAATGCAGAAGCTCCAGGGCCGGCCTATGAGGTGAGCAAACTTGTATTGGCACAGAACAGGACAAAGAGGCCAGACATTCTTACTAGGTTTCGTAAATACAGAGGTGGATGGGACATTGCCAACAAGCACTACTGGGCTGTAAGCTTCAACATCACATTATTATTAATCAATTACCTGTCATAGGTTTTTGCACAGAATTTGCTTTGATCTGGATTTTTTTGGAGCATGATCATGTCGAAGGATATACGAACATTTAGCTAGAATTTTCTCTGATTTTAGTATAGTATTATAAATCTTGATTCTTGCATAGTGTTCATGGATCGATACTTGATCTACGAATAGTCATGTTGCCTTTTTTCTGTTTAACTTTTCGTAGATACAGGCTTGTTATACTCTGGATTGTATGTATAGGAAGCATTTATGTCAAATTTATTTGATTTGGAGGGAACGTATGTTGCTGACACATATTGTCACGTGTCATATTTTTATTCGCATATTTGGAAAGTATATATATGTTTGCTGAACGTTCACTGATTGTGGTGAATGGTAAATTGTTATGTAACTTTGAAACCAACTTTTAATTTTTTTGTTACCAACAAAAATTCAGATTGTATTCAACCAACTTTTAATTTTTTTGTTACCAACAAAAATTCAGATTGTATTCCGTTAAACTTTGCGATTGACTATTCTTCTCAGTCTGTAGGATTTACAGGTTCAGCGGCTTTTATTATTGCTGTCTTGTGGCTTGTTTCTTTCGGGTTGGCTCTCGTGGTGCTTTATTGCTGTGGGTGGAAAATAGACTTAAATGGGAAAGAGTCGAGCTGGCCACACAGGATATGCCTTTGGCTACTTCTTCTGCTTACAAGTGCTGCAGCGTATAATCTCAACTCACATTTGTTGTTTAGTAAATAAAAAGTGTCTGGATTTCAGTCTTTAACAATGCTTTGGTGGTGGCTTTGGCTAAGTTCTCATCCAATTACATTCAGCCATAAGTTTTGGCCTTAAATTAATGGCCAATTCGTTCATTTTCTTTATCGGGCGAGTATTTTGAAAGAATGCACGAGTTTTTAAAGAATTTATTCAATCGCAACTACATTTTGTTTTTAAATTTTATTTGTGTCTACAGTCAACAAATCCCAAAATACTTTCTGCCAAGAAAAAGAGTGCAATTTGGGCCTTTACCCTCAACTGTATATGATGGTCTCTTTTAGGCAACTTTTAAAATGTCTGATGCAACTGCCATCATGGTGATGATTTTATTAGAAGTTAAAAACTTATGCTTCTCTACCTACATTCTACAATATTATATANGTAAATTAAAAAAAAAAAAAAAATCACCTGATTGCCTACAAATACCCACCATGTCCGTTTTAGAGTAATTTATTTTTCTTAGGTATTTATTTTAATCACCGAAGGGACATTATGCGATGAAGCTTTTCCGATTTGGAATTTTGTTTCCTAATAAGCCTAGACTTCACATCAAGTCTGTATTATATTTTCCAGCTCATTAACATGCTGCATCATAGCTTTTATTGATCAACATTGTTTGCCAACAGGATTGGGTGTATTTTGCTCTCTGTGGGTCAGAATGACTTCCATGAAGAAGCATTGGGCACTCTGGATTTTGTCGTGAACCAATCAGAGTACACTGTGCAGACACTTAGAAATGTAACAGGGTATCTTTCAGTGGCGAAAAATGTCAACGTGGCCCAAATATTCCTTCCTTCAGATGTCAAAGGCGATATTGACAGGTTGAATGTTGACCTGAATACAGCAGCAAACACATTGGAACAGCAGACGAGCGAGAACTCGAGCCGAATAGAGAAAGTCTTCAATACGGTGTATGATTTTATACGAAAAAAGATTTAATATAGATTGGAGAGTAACTTTTCATTCATCCATTTTGCAGTATTTAATGGCTGGCTGATTGTTTGTTACAGGCGATCGGCACTTATCACTGTTACTGCAGTTATGCTTGTGATATCTATTCTAGGTTTCGGTATGTAATCATTTAAAGAAAAGAAAGAAAAAGAATAATGACCTATTTATTGGCGCCATAC